ATACTAAAGGAGGGTCTTTCATACCGGTTGAAGCCATCAACCCGTACTAAAGGCCGCCACCTTTAATACCGGTTGGAGCCACCAACCCATACTAAAGGGGGGGGGGGCTTTAGTACCGGTTGGAGCCACCAACCCGTACTAAAGGCCACCACCTCTTTAGTACCGAACCGGTGCTAAAGGTTCGCCACGAACCGGTACTAATGAGCGCTGCCCGCCTAGCCATTAGAACCGTCACTATTGGTCACATTAGTGCCGGCTCAAATACAAACCGGGACTAATGAGCTGAACATTTGACCCTTTCTACTAGTGTAAGAAAGATCATGTTTATAAGGGCATCTCATATTTGCTATGCTCCGCGGGAGCAAACACACCTACATGTGATAGATAGTTTCATGTTGGCAAATAAATGTGTATTCAAAAGTACAATAGTTGGTATTTTGTCTTGGATTCTAAATTTTGCTTACTTGACCGAATATGTCAAACAAAGTGATGGATGTGTTTTCTTTCCAAACATTATGCTACCTGATTTAGCTGCCATCTGTTTGGAACCCGTTGTTACCCAGAATACTAAAGGAACATATGAATTGCCATATCCTTTTATTTTTATATTTTATCTATCAAGCGGCGTGCGCGGTTGCCGCCGAGCGTGACCTAGCGCCATGGGCATCACCACCGCACATGTCACAGATCGACATGCACGAGTGGAGGGCGACGGACACGCTAGTGTCGAATATGAGGCGTGGGATGGCAACTTACAATCGTGAGAGGTAGGTGGGGCGTCCAGGCACGCAAGGTGGGGTGTGCGATCGAAGCACCGGAGGAGACGACATGGGATGGTTGCTGGGTGATTTTAGGGCCGAAAGGAAATTAGGAAGGTAGAAGAAAGAAGGAAATCAGAAAGGCAAATAACCAAAACAAGTTAGAAAAAAGAATCAGGTGGGAGGGAAAAAAGGTGTGGGGGAAGGAGGGTGGGAGGCGGGGCAGTACCTAGGCGGAGGTCAGACAAAAGATGAAGCGAGATGGGAACACTACTCTTTTTGTCAAGATAGGGAAGAGGAGATGTTCACATTTTAAAAAATCATCTAATTTTTTTTAAAAAAAAATCAGATTTTTTTATTTTTCTTTTCAAAATTTTAATACATGGTGAACAATTCTTTGATAAACAATAATTACTTTGTTGTAATACAAGTTGAACATGTTTTTAATACACAATGAACTTTTCCATAATATATAGTGAATGTTTTTTAATACATTACTAACACATTTTTCTGAACACACCAAACATTTTTTTTTCAAATTCACAAGCATTTTGCGAAATTCGGAACATTTTACAAAATGTGAAACGCTTCTCAAATTTTAAAACTTTTTCAATAATTTTGGAAACCATTCTTAAAATCCAGGATCATTTTTATAATCTGTTAACCTTTTTTCCTTTGAAATCCCTAACATCTTCTGAAACTCGGAACATCTTTCAAAAAATGGAAAAGCAAACCAAAGGAAAGAAAAAGGAAATGAAAAACAAACTCGCGTCAGAGTTGGGCCGGGCCATTGGCGCTCGCTTCAGCACTGTTTGTTTGATGCCTACAGAAAAAGAAAAAAAGAAAAAGCCAGCCCCCACGACCTCTTCTTCCGTCCCGAACGAACCAGCCTCACCCTCGCCCGCCCTCTCCGGCGACTGGCACCGCGCCGGACGCCGCCGCCGCCTCCTCCTCCCCGTCTTCCCCGCCACCCAGCTCCGCTCCGCCCCCGCCCCCGCCCCCGCCCCAGCGCGTCGCCGCCCCAAACCGCACCCAGGCGGGAAGGGAGCGGCACCTCGAGCCGGATTCTCCCCCCAAACCGCGCCCGCGACGAGAGGGCCTCCTGCACCCCGCCGGTTCGGCCGCGCATCCCGCCTGTCCAGATCTCCGTCCCCGCGCCGAGGCAGGGTAAACCTTCCCCCACTTCCGCGGTTCTGGCTTGATTCCTCTGCTACTCGGTCCAAGCGTGGAAACCCTAGCTAGGGTACCATGTAACCAAATTAGGGTTTGATGCGGGGATGAATCTCGAATAGGAATGACGCGGCGACGGTGCGTGAGTCTAGTCAATCCAGGGTAGCATAGCATGTAGCCAAGCTGCGATCAGTAGCTCTGGCATTGACAACGAGGATGTTGTTGATTGGAATGATGCTCCTGTCAATGCGGATCAGAGGGCGATGATGTATGTATGCCTTGTTAGGCATCCTCAGTTCTCTCCACTAGTTCCAGGGTGAACGGATTCGTCGCCCGCCACCTGGTGGGGGGTGGGGCTTGTCCATGTCTTGTTGTTGCATAACTGTGTGGTTGGTTGCAATCGCAATTGGGGATCAGTTGCTTGGCTTATTATTGCCAATACAATTCTGAATTTTTTACGTGGTGACCCGAAATTCTCTGGAGCAAATACGTTTTTGAACCCTAACTGGAACAAATACATAGAACAGTGAGTTTTTCACTTTTGCTTGCCACTTTGTGTTAACTCATTACGTATTGATTATCAAATGCAATAAGAGGAATTCTCGCTCCATTTGGATTGAGTTTGATACTCTACTCACCAATTTTCTGATCTGAAACACATCTTGTATGTGCCCTTTATCAAATTGAGAAGAGTTGTTATTATACATTAAAGTCTAGATATAGATTCAATAACCGGTTCCATAATTCATTACCTGCAGGAAAGGTGGAAGTTTCCTAGGGCTTGACCAATATTGAGCTTGATAGCTGCTACTGCTGACGAATATCACAGAATCATGAAAGCTCCTCAGCAGCACCATAAACCAACCGATACAGAAGCAAAGGCCAAACTTGGTGTTAATAAGATGCACTGCCTGAAGCCAGGCAAATATACCCACAAATCACCAGGTGATGCGTTGGTGCCCTATTCTTGATTTCTTTTAGTACTACATTTGTACTGAGCTTCGTATCAGGCGAATCAACAACTGAAGTAGAAAAACAAGGTGCTCTTTGGCAGGTGATTATCTCAGTTTGACAAACTTGTCTGCTCAACCACCAAATTATTCTGGAAAGATGAAGCTTCAGTTTTTCCCAATAGATGAGGCGATTCAAAATGTTCTACAGCAGGTGATTATCTCAGTTTTTGCAGGAGAGATCCATATAAATACAGCATATGATGTTCTTTCAAGTTCACACTTCTTTACTTTTGGTTTGTTCCACCACTTATGTAACAGGAGAAACACAATCCTTACCTGGAGTTGACTTTGGCTCCTCGAAAGAAGATGTCCTCAATTGTGCAACACTTGAACACAAAATGGGGTCGTTCTAGTTGTGCAAAAGGCGACCTCATGCTCTTCCCATACAGTGCTAGACCGGATAGCATAGCCAGCAGTAAAAAATGGACTCTTAATGATTCTTGCACTGCTGCCGATGTTTATGTTGCTGTTGGCAGCCCTTCAACATTCCGTTTAAGGTTCAATTTCTTACCTAGAAATGGTTACCTTCATTGTGATGTACATATATAAATGACTCCTTTTTTAATACTCACTAGATTAATTTAAGGTACCTTCAGATGGTCATGATTTTGTATTTATTAACAACATTTCATTGAAGAAATTAGTAATGACGGTTCAATTCTGGAAGACTTGTCATGTCAAACAGCATTCTATGAAAATCAAGGGAATACGAAAAAATTCAGCTAATTATCATTTGCTTACTTTAGGTATGGTTGGTTCAAGCCTAATTTGAAGCAACAAATCAGCGAAGCACCCTTGGCACCAGTGCTCTCTGCAGAAAAGACTTTGGGCGACAAACCTTCACATCATTTTGAATTTGCAAGTAAATTTGCCAGTCCATCCGTTGAGTGTAACACGGAAAAGACCATGGTGGTGAGTAAATTTCATGTGCTTCTTGCAATAATGATGTCATTTGTACTTGAGACTTGATCTGATCCTCTTTGTATGTTTCCAAAATTAGGATAACAACCAAAGCAAAGCGACACCGCTTTCATGGATTGACAGCATATCCAATATCAGTTTTGGAGCACTGCTATCGCAAGCCGTGCCCTCTCAAGACAGCAAACAACCGCCTTTGCAACAAAATAGCTCGATTTTCCAGCAGCAGATTCCTGCCACGTGCGATTCATTCGATGCTGCTATTGCTTCCTTGATTGCTCGCCAGCAAACAAGTAACCAACCGAAGGTGTCAAATCCATCCCTGTGGGATGCAGATGAAACCTGTCATGCATTCCCTCCTCCCCGGAATCAAAATTTAGCCAGGATGTCCGCTTGTGGTCCTGGCAACAGTAGTGCTATTACCTCAACTACCCTTGGTGCAATTGCTGAATCCGGTACAGGTGGCGACCAGCAACACTGGCTACCAGGTAGCTGCTGATGTTCCCTTGCTCTACTAGTGCTGTGTTTTCCACCCAACACAGAGGTATGTGTTGCACTGTTGCTTATCAGCAGTCATTTTCCTTGTGCAGCGCTCTACCGAAGGCAGGAAAGAGGAACCAAGGCCCCCTCAGATACCACCAGGCTTGGGCAATAATGATAATGTGAAGCCTGATGTGTCACTGCAGATGGGGCGTTTCACGACGCTAGGCTATTGAGTGGAACTGGCAGTTTAGGGCTAAGCGGCTTGCTTAGCAAACAGCTTGGACGCGTTCTGGAAGTTCTGTGTTTCGTAAGGCTCGGAAGTTTTACATGGAGGACCTGATCCTATATAGATCCTGTAAAGATAGATCATCATTTGGGTTTCCTGCTGCTTCGGTCGTAATCGATTACTTTGGGCTTACTGCAGCCGATTGTGTAGATAGATAGTCAGTTACCGACAGGTGTTAGTCGCATAAACTACTTTTTTTTTCTTTCTTACTGGCCGCCACTTGTGATTTTTGAATTTGTCCATGATCTGCTTGGCTGCTCGCCGTTTTCTCTGCATCCTGTATGCATTCCACTGAATGTTTGGCAAATGTTTGAAACTTTGGCTTCAATATGTGTATGTAAAACCGAGTCATTGCAATTTTGCACAGAGGATGGGCTATCGCCATCCCTGGGCCCAGCTTTTCTTATACTGTAGCTGTGGCAATTCAGATTTAATACCGATCACGAGAGTATGTTAGTTTTTTTATTTTTCTAGCTAAATACTGTAGTAACTAATGTAGTAGTAAAAATTATCTTGTAGCACGAGCATCCTAAGCATCTCTACTTGGGGACGACAAACCGGTCGAAGTGAAGGGGGGAACAAGGCATGAGATGATGAAATAAACTAAAATCTGCACCGGAAAATAGAACAAAAACCAGCTTTAAATCGGCAAACTTTTCGGCGGGCAGAGCTCCTATCGCATACATTTTTTTCATCACATTAGCCTTTTGATTCCCAGACTTTTCAATTATAACTCATTTTCACAACCTTGTAACTAAATCTGAATTCCATCCTTTTTATGTATTTTTGTAAAACAAGCTTTGGGTCAAGAAATGTTTTTTTACCAGCTTGCGAGAGATGATGGAGAGCAAGGTTTCTTTGAGAGAAAAGGCCGTGATGTTGCCGTGTGGTGTGCAGCCCAGAGAAGCCCGGCCCAACAACCCAACCGAGAGCCCAGCCTATAAACACGCAACCCTCAGTCCCCACCCCACCCTCTCTCCCCAAACCCTCGCCCCTCCCCTCTCCTCCCCCGCCGCCGCCGCCGCCGCCGCCACCACCCCAGCCCCAACCCCCATCACCGGCGAAGATGAAGACCATCCTGGCGTCGGAGACGATGGAGATCCCGGAGGAGGTGACCGTGAAGGTGTCCGCGAAGATGATCTCGGTGACGGGGCCGCGGGGCACGCTGACCCGCAACTTCAAGCACCTCAACCTCGACTTCCAGCTGCAGGAGGGCGGGCGCAAGCTCAAGGTGGACGCCTGGTTCGGCACCCGCAAGACCATGGCCGCCATCCGCACCGCCATCTCCCACGTCCAGAACCTCATCACCGGGGTCACCAAGGGCTTCCGCTACAAGATGCGCTTCGTGTATGCTCACTTCCCCATCAACGCCTCCATCACCGCCGCCAACCGGGGCATCGAGATCAGGAACTTCCTCGGCGAGAAGAAGGTACCTGCTTTTAGCTTTTCTTTTGTTGCCAACGCGGTTGATATGCAGATTTGGTTTGTGGATCTGCTTGTGTGTGGTTGATGGATTTAGCGGCTGTGATTTGGTTGCAGGTGAGGAAGGTGGACATGCTCGACGGGGTCACCATCTTGCGGTCCGAGAAGGTCAAGGATGAGATCGTCCTCGACGGCAACGACATCGAGCTCGTCTCCCGCTCCGCCGCCCTCATCAACCAGGTGAATCAAACAAACAGGATCCAGACCCTTTCTTTTTGTTCATGTGCATGTTGTGGTGCCTGACTAATTTGGGTGATCTGAATTAGAATGATCATGTGTCATTCTCGCTTGTGCTCTTTGGGGAAGCTAACATGATAGATGTGCGTATAAATCATTGTGGGTTTCTTTATATGTTGGATGTCTAGTGTTCTTTCTTTGCGATGCATATATGTCTACTTGTGCTGTTCAACATGATGCAAACAAGGCTGTTTCAGCCGTTTTACTGCTTGTTGAGCGTTGTACTGCATGTTTAGACGCTAGTGCACACCCCATTATTGGTCATTCTATTAACAGTCGCAGTCTTGTCGGGTTTCTACTGTTATTAGGTAGTGGTTAAATCATTACATGTCAATTTGTTTGTAATTATGTGAAGAAGTAACTATGATGATCTGCCTGAATGATATTCATCCAGTAGCAGTTAAAAGCTTTTAGTAAGATGTCCCATCTGTTCGATTTTGGTATAATTGTGGTGGAAATGGACTTACCTGAGGCAGCATGTGCTTATTCACCCAGATCATGAGTTAAGGTTTCTTTTGTAGCACACAGTTTTTATTGGTTGTTTCATGTCATTGTATAATAACCAAAATGATGTTTGCACTGTGCAAGTTGACTGTATGTCTTGTTTCTATGTGTCACAGTATTGTAATTTCTCTTCCATTTTCGTTCCTTTACCACTTCATTTGTTCTGTCCTACTTGAATTATTCAAGTTATTATGATGTTTGGATGGCTGCTGAGGCATGTATGATCTATTCATCTGACTTACACAACACATGTGTGCTGAGGGACGTGCACCGCTGTTTCTTATTGTTTCCAATAATTCATACTTCTAACACAAGTTCCCATTTCCTTTGCTGTTTAACAGAAATGCCACGTCAAGAACAAGGATATCAGGAAGTTCTTGGACGGTATCTACGTCAGCGACAAGGGCGCCATCAAGGAGGAGTAGAGTGCGAAAACCGTCCCAGAAGCCGTGTTTCTGCCTGCCGTGTTTCATCGTCTTTGTGTCGTGGTTGTGATTTTGAACTTTCTCTAGACTGAATTTTGTAGTGGAGTTAATTAGGGATGCGCTATGCAACATGTTATCTTTATTATCCTACATATTGTCACCGTGAGAATTGGTACGATGCTTATCTTCCCCTAAAGGTTGATGACTTCAGGAATTTGAAGTTAAAACAGGACATGAATGCGGTGCGTGTGCTCTAGTGTTAAATGATTTGGTTATGCATTTACATTGCCTGCCTTCTCTATTTGAGCTGCTTAAGTTCTTGCTGCCTAAGGTAGAAATGTTGCCGCTTGTTACTGCATTTTGTTGTGTGGCTCTTAAGCAGCACTGTGTCTGGATGGTTGTCCATGTAGAATAGTTTGTATTGTGGTTGTATTTTATATTTGTGAACAAAGGAGTTATAACATGATAATGGAAAGTTGCTATGGAGCTTGATGCCACTCCACAAAAAGGTTAGAACATCTTATATTTGTGAAGGAAGGAGTTAGAACATAATAATTTTCCCTTTCTCTGTACATTATACAAAAAAATTGCTGTATGTAAATTATTTGATGAACTCATCATGCAAAAAAGCTCACGGAAAACAGAGACTGGTCGATAGCTTTTGCTTTTTGTATATCACGGAGAACAGATGTACAAAGAATTTGCTCCATAGCTTCGCTTTCCGTTCCAGGAGATGTTGGGCAAATGAATAATGCACGGCACGGCATCTTCAGAGACTGGTTGAATATTTTCGGTTTTTGGTTTACACGAGTCTGAACACCTCGGAGCACACAAAGGAGAGATGCCTACCACTATTTCACATTGGCATAGCTATAGCTATAGCTTACAAGTTCAGTTGTACCAAATCAAAGATCTTAGTTGGTTTGGTTTCTTGTCATGAAGCTTTGCACGTAGGTCAAGTCTTAGACTTGTTTGCATTATCCTGAATTCATTCTAGTCTAGGAGGCGCCTACGGTTTACATGAGTCTTGCAGCACACAAAGGAAAGATGCCTACTACTATTTCACATTGACATAACTATATCTTATAAGTTCAACTGTACCAAATCAAAGTTAAATAAAAGCAGGCGGCTAGTGCATGTGCTTCTTAGTTAATTAGGTTCCTTGTCATGAAGCTTTGCATGTAGGTTCAAGTCTTAGACTTGTATGCATTTTTCTGGATTCGTCTACGAGGCATCTACGGTGCTACTGCTACATGACTCATCTTATTAAGAATAGATCATTTAACCCCATTGAATGAAAAAAATGAAATTCGATTTTTTGGGAAATTTGGGAATATGAGATAAATAAACAATTGAATTTGAAAAAAACTTTCTATTTTGGATAATTTCTTTTTCAATAGGACCCTTTTTTTGGAGTGAACGATCGAGTATTTCCCTATTCCTTCTTATTTTAACTGATTGTATTCCATATGGAATAAGAGAGAAGAAAAGCATTTCACGACCTCCCGAGGGACTGTTAAAAAAAAGCTCCACATCAAGCGCCTTTCCTGGCCACTCCATGAAAAAGTTAGAACATCTTATTAAACGAAGGAGTTTAGAACATGAACGAAAAAGTTAGAACATCTTATTAAACGAAAAAGTTAGAACATCTTCAGAGGCGCTGGTTGAATATTTCCGTTTTTTCGGGTTACACGAGTCTGAACTGAACACCTTGGAGCACACAATGAAAAGATGCCTACCACTATTTCACATCGACGTAGCTATAACTTATTACTTATAAGTTCAGTTGTACCAAATCAAAGTTAAATAAAATAGGCGGCTAGTGCATCTTATCTTAGTTGATTAGCTTCCCTGTCATGAAGCATTGCTATTCCACAGTTGTTTGCAGTGATCTATTCATCTGACTTGCACAACACATGTGTGGTGCTGAGGGACGCGCATCGTTGTTTCTAGTTGTTTTCAATAATTCATACTTCTAACACAAGTTCCCCTTTCCTTAGCTGTTTAACAGAAATGCCACGTCAAGAACAAGGATATCAGGAAGTTCTTGGACGGTATCTACATCAGCGACAAGGGCGCCATCAAGGAGGAATAAAGAGAGAAAACCGTCCTAGAAGCCGTGTTTCTGCCTGCCGCGTTTCATCATCTTTGTGTCGTCGGTCGTGATTTTGAACTTCTCTAGACTAAATTTTGTAGTGGAGTTAATTAGGGACGTGCCATGGAACATGTAATCTTTATTATCTTGCATATTGTCGCCGCGAGAGTTGGTACGACGTCTATCTTCCCCTAAAGGTTGATCGCTTAAAAGTATTTGAGGTCAAAACATGACATGAATGTGCTCTACTGTTAAATGACTTGGTTATGCATCTACATTGCCCACCTTGTCTTTTTGAGCTGTTCTAAGAGTTCTTTGCTGCCGATTCGAGAATGCCATTTTATCCAAAATGTGTTGCATTCGTTATATGCCTTGACTATGTCCACGCACGTATTACATGTTTTTGTTCCCTAGGAAATTGTTTTGCCGGCTCTTCCCGGTTGAAGGAACAGGCGGTGGAGGTGAACTCGACAAGCTCCCCATATATAGAGCGCCTTCCCCCGGCCGCTCCATGGTGTAGTTAGAACATCGTATTAAACCAAGGAGTTTAGATCATGAACAAAGGGAGTAATAGTTTCCCGTGAGTTTGTTCTTTCTATGTACATGTATAAAAAAAGATAAGAATTGCTGTATGATGGTGTGATTCGCCATGCATAAATTATTTCATGTACTCATCATGTGAAAAAGCTGTGCCTGGAGGCGGCTGTTTCTCAACGATTCATGATTCAGGAGACGTTGGGCAAATGAATATTTCCGTTTTTTTAAGGTTTACACGAGTCTGAACATCTGGGAGCACACAAAGGAAAGATGCTTACTACTGTTTCACATTGACATTGCTATAACTTATATAAGTTCAGTTATACCAAATCAAAGTTGAATAAAACAGGCGGCTAGCGCATGTGCATCTTAGTTGGTTAGGTTCCCTGTCATGAAGCTTTGCACGCAGGTTCAAGTCTCAGACTCGTATGCATTTTCCTGGATTCATACTAGTCTACGAGGCCATCTTATTAAGAATAGATCATTTAACCCCATTGAATGAAAAAATGAAATTCGATTTTTAGGGAAATTTTGGAATAAGAGATAAATAAACAATTGAATTTGAAAAAAATAACTCTCTATTTTGGATGATTTCTTTTTCAATGGGATCCTCTTTTTGGAGTGTATTTTTTGCGTACCAGGGTAATTTGATATGAAGAATTTCTATGGTTCCTATTTTACTTGACTTGGAAAAAGAAAAAACATTTTATTTTATTGAAAGGATAATAAAGAAAGAAAGAAAGAAAGAGAAAGGGAGAAAAAGCTCCCAAAATATAATAAAAAAATAAGTCGATGGTTACTTATTTGGTCAGCATCAAAGCTCGAACCAGAGCCACGCAACTCCACACGACTCCCCCCTCTCCCTCCGCGCTCGCGCCAGTCGATCGCTCGCCGCCGGCGCCGTCGCCGTCGCGCCGCCATGCTCCAGCCCCGAAGCCGCGCCCCCAACCGCCTCCTCATCTCTTCTCCCGCGGCCTCCCCCCTACCCCCGCTCCACCGCCCCGTCCCCGCAGCGGCGCCCGCCGTCTCCCCGAACCCTAGCCTCGCCGCAGCCCTCAAGGCCGACGCCGTCCTCGGCCTCGTCCTCTCCACCGGAGGCGCCCCTTCCTCCGCCCCTGCGGCGCAGCAGCAGTAAACAGCCAGGTAAAACTACACGCGCACAATCTTGTTAAGAGGAAGAAATTGACCGCGGCCAGTCCGTCGTCGGGTTCCTCCAACCTGGGACGAGATTTTCTCGCGGTTAGGATTTTGGTTGTCTCCTCGCGGTAGAGCAATAGTTTCGTCGCTCTGCTTACCAAACTATCACCGGCCTCATGGTCTATATCATGCTGAAAATGGGTGAAACTTAGATCTAGTCAAGTACTACCTCCGTTCCGAATTATAGGATGTTTTGGATATTTCAGTATGGATTACATGGGGACTGAAACTAGTGAACAAATACACTAAAATGCGTCCATATACATTCGAGTCAGAAAGAAGTCCGATTGGACTGTGACTGCATATGAAATGCCAACCCCCTTTAGAAGTTCGATTGGGTTGTAGTCCACCATCAGAGATGGAGTGCAGAATTAATGTGTTTTTTGTTTTGTTTTTTCTGTCGCATCGCATGAATTTGGGACCATTTTGGTTGTTCGAATGACTAATCTTTTGTGTATTAATTTTGATAAGAGAAATAAATTAACCGTGGCCAATCCAGCGCTGGGACAAGATTTTCTTGCAGTTAGAATTTGCTTGTCTCCTTACTCTTAGCTAGCTGTGAATGTGATAGAACAATAGTCACTCTGCTTACCAGCTGTCAGAGGGCCTTGTTTACTTCCCAAAATCCTCATGGTTTCTCACATGCTAGCTTAGTTTCTGCTGTGACTTTATATGAAGTGCCAACTCCATTACAAGTTTGATTGGATTGTCCACCATCGGAGATGGAGTGCAGATTTGCAAGGCAGCTACGAAGCTGCCTGTAGGTGAACACCATGCTGACAATTGGCTTTCTTTTGGGCCTTTTTGTAGGTACAAGAAGTTGGAAACAAGTGCTCAAATGGGGGCGTCTCTCAGCTTCCCCAGCAACGGGAAGCAAACACTGGAGCACAGGGAAGCGCCAAAACCAGGTTCCTCAAAGAAGCTGCGCCCTGGTCATTACCACCCGAGGCTGATTCCTGACCTCCCGGATGAGATCTCCCTGCAAATCCTCGCGAGGATGCCAAGGGTGTGGTATCTTAGCAGCAAGAGGGTTTCACGGAGCTGGAAGGCCGCCATCACTGGCATGGAGTTGTATCGGGTGAGGAAGGAGCTTGGTGTGGATGAGGAATGGATTTACATACTGACCAAGGCGGCCAATGGCAAGCTGTCGTGGCACGCCTTTGATCCGCTTTGCAGCCGATGGCAGAGACTGCCGCTCATGCCTGTGGTTGCTCGTGGGGGAAGCCGTTTAGGGGGTTTGGTGAGTGCTGGGATTAGGATCTCTGGTGTCATTAGAGGCTTGCTTGGCCAAGAGGATTGGTTAGACAAGATTCCCTTTTGTGCTTGCGCCATTGGAACGGTCGATGGATGCCTCTATGTTCTGGGCGGTTTCTCTAGAGCCACAGCAATCAAAAGCGTATGGAAGTATGATCCAGCTGTAAATTTGTGGCAGGAAGTAAGCTCAATGAGCGCCGCGCGAGCGTTTGGCAGGACTGGCCTTTTGAACAACAAGCTGTATGTCGTTGGCGGTGTCATCAGGGAACAAACTGGATTAGCTCCGCTTCAATCTGCTGAAGTGTTTGACCCAACCACAGGAATCTGGGCAGATGTGCCAAACATGCCCTTCTCTAAAGCACAAACTCTGCCGACTGCATTCCTGGCTGACTTACTGAAGCCGGTTGCTACAGGAATAGTCTCATTTGGAGGCAAGCTGTATGTGCCTCAGAGCCTATATTCCTGGCCATTCTTTGTTGATGTTGGCGGGGAGGTGTTTGATCCTGCGACGGACTCATGGTCAGACATGCCTGTAGGCCTGAGCGAGGGTTGGCCTGGGAGGCAAGCCGGGACAAAATTAAGTGCTGTTGTGGGTGGGGACCTATATGCTTTGGAGCCCCCAACTTGTTCTGATAGCGGCAAGATAAAGATGTACGATCCCAATGAGGATACATGGAAGGCTGTTGTCAGCCAGGTGCCTGTTGGTGACTTTGCAGAGTCAAAGTGTCCGTACTTGCTTGCGGGGTTTCTTGGGAAGCTCCATTTGGTGATCAAAGATGCAAATAGCAAGGTCAGTATTGTGCAAACGGACGCTCTAAGGCCTATGGATGCAACTGGCTCGACATGCCAAAACCCAGACGTCTCCTGGGAGCAAGGCGCTGATGTTTGGAGAACTGTGGGCTCGAAGAAATTTGCGGTTGCTGAACTTGTTAGCTGCCAGGCGCTCAGCATATGAAGTTTGGAGAAATCATACATACATTCTGCTCTGCTGTACGTATCCTGGGAATCATTGTGTCTTTTGTAAAGTAGATATCCTTCTATCATACATCTGATCTAGCCATGATGAACTTGTTGGGTTCACCTTAACAGCACATGTGAATACGGATCAGAAATGTAATCTTGCCATCAGTGTACATCCAATCTGTGTTTAGTCCTAAGATGTAAGTAAATGTTTGGTTCTGTCTACTCCTATATATAATAACTTCGCATAAGAGGGAGAAATTCATTGCTTTGGCCATCTGAAGAATCATGCAACCTGCTGCTATTTTGGCACCTTGTATTTTTTTTCCTGGTTTCTTGATGGAAAGTGAACTGTTCAATTCTGAAGATCATCATTACGAGTTGCATGCATATGCATCTGTTTTCTCCTTCTCTAATTATCATGGTTGCAGAATCTGTGAAAGAAGGGAATATCGCAGACATACGGACATTTCTTGTTTCTTTTTTTAATGGACCATGTATTTCTTTTTTAGATAGATAAAAAGACCTTAACGAGTATTTCTTTGCCCTTAGTAGTTGCAATTGCAAATGCTTTGTGTCGGTGTTTATGCTTTCCAGTTTTGCCATGCGAGTCTCGCTCAATCCGTCATCCCAAGTTTGGCATCTGTTGTTATCTACTTATCTTCCCATGTCAAGCTATCAACGCACTGGATGCCTGCTTCTTTTCTTGCTGAAATTCTATTCTTGACCTTTTTTTTGACGTTTAAGCTTCATGTATATGACAATTGTCGACAACTAGTGCAAATAGATAATTTGTCTAGTTCACTTAGTTGAGGTCAAATACATACATATAACGCATGTTTTGTGTATTTCTACTGTTTCAAGAAAGCATACATTGTCCGTACTTTCAGCAACAAAACCATATATTAATTCTGCTGTATGAATCACCGTGGCTTTTGTGAAGTACTCCTTCCGTAAAAGAAATATAAGAGCGTTTAGATCACTAAAGTAGTGATCTAAACGCTCTTATATTTCTTTACAGAGGGATAAGTAGAAAACTTTCTTTTGTACCATACATCTGATCCAAGCAAGAATGCCACGATGAACTTGTTGGGTTCACTCACCTTAACAGCACATCTGACTGAATAATATGGATTTGAAATGTAATCTTGCCAGCAATGTACACACACAATCTGTGTATGTTTACTTCAAATATGCAAGCAAACTTGACATAATAAGATGGAGACAGTCATTGCTTTGGTCCAAATATATATGTCACCATGAACATATGTTGTTACTGGTTTTGACTATATATGTCTTGACACATTTGGGTTTGAATTCCTGCATTTGTTGGACTTCACTTGGTTGGGTGGTGGTAGGACGGAACTTAATTCCACACTATATATGCTTCTAGTTCTTTGGTGGGCTTGGTTTGCCCAAGATTTACTTGTGCTTGCTGATTGGCAGTTAGTTTTGTTGGCAGATTTTTTTTGCTTCAACTGTAGGCCTTCATGCTCTCATCTTCCATTGAGATAAGTGTATTTTCTTAATCTTGTTTAGGAACATTTGTAAATAGCATGATTACTACTGCTATGCGTCGTCTGTTTTCTCTGAACCGAGGCATGTTTGCCTTGGTGCTGTCTGAGATACAGTACCCAGTAAGCGATTTCTGAGGCAAAATGATATGCTTTTGTGAACTAATAACGCCTGCAATTATTTGGCGATATTTTGCAGATCTTGAGGCATGCATGTGTGGTTGGAAGAAACACTAGGAAATTCGACCGTATACTTGGTGTGATATAGCACTCGCAGAACTTTCTGAATGGAGTATGTACGTCGTCCATATGCAGAATAGGAAGCTTAAGCTGTACACTGGCAATTTCGAGCAGTGTGTCTAAAAACGATCTGAACTGGAAGAGAACCAAATGAAGCAGTACAGTTGGGATACCTCAGGTCCGCCAAGCTCAGAGCAAAGAGAAAACACTTGCCAAGATGGAGCATGGCGGTCTCACGGAGAAGGTCGCAAGGTACTAACATTCCGCTTCACCAACGTCGGCAAGCTTCCGCCGCCTGTATTTACTATACATACTGATATACATTTGCAGTACATTATATATATCACACATTTTATCTATCTATCTATCTGTCTATACAGTGGAACCATATTATACGAGATATAGCAAACAAACGGAATGAATCAAAGCTAGAGTAGGCTAGTGACCATGCATTCTTGGGCTCATGCATAGATATGGCAGGAGATGTGTGGGTGGAATGATAGATGTCTCACCTGATCATGCCATACAGATGAATGAAGAAGGCAAGAGCAATGCCAAGGCGCTTGTGTGCGGATGCAGCATCATCAAGATTCTCATGCACATCTACATGCTGATTGCTGTTTCATTTTGGAAACAAACAGAGCGATTCATGCCTGGATGGGATGGATGTGAATCTTGATGATGCCACGCCCGCACACACCCACCATCAAGGAGCCCACCCTGCAAGTAGTAGTAACACTAGAGCAGCAGACACTGATGCAACTAGCTAACTAGAGCTAGCTAGTCCCCGCAGGACTATGAAAGCTATTGCTAATCTCCCCCTGGCTCTATATATACCACAGTATACAAGGGTAGTAATTATTAGTTAATTAGAGAACCGGATTACTGGAGCATGGTATTTGCACCCAGATTGGCAAACCGACCAGGTGACGTGGATGGGGCCCGCCAGGCGAGGGTGGCACCTGCTGGGCTGTCCACCAACAAAAGTATTCCATCTACTAGCTTGTTTTTTTATACAAGGTGTATATCAGTGTCGAGAAGATATTGGTTACACCTGGCTGGCATCTGCACCAACATGATCTCAAGTGCTACCTAAGACATCAGATATGAACATAGCCAAATTATTAGAGAAAGAAAATAACAAAATATCTGTAAACAACTGTAGCAACCAAAAGCAAGAACCATCAACAATGTCAGCCCTAGGTAACATGATAGGTGCTTCAACAATGACGCACAAGCGTCGCCGTCCCGTTGAGGCAAGATCATGAGTTTTCATCCATCTTTGTCAGGTTCAACTAATGAAGGTCCAACCTAGAGTTTTTCACCCCTGAAACTTCAAGAACCCGTGCACTCAAAGTGTTTTTGCCCTGGAACTCAGTCACCACTCACTACAGGGTACAGTCGTTGATCAACGAGACGTACTAGAATAACCATAGTGAATGAGTACCTGGTTATGTCGGCAGGCGCTACAATAACCAACTGTACTGGGTACTTGAAACATCGTGCCTTTATTTATGACACTAGTAGTACAATATCTGGCATTGTCCCAAAAATTTCGTGTCTTTTATTTACTTTATACACTTGTAGTACAGCATTTGGCGCTGTCCCAAAAATTCGGGTCTGCAAGTACACGGCATCCTAATGGTATTGCCGTTCTGGGGCTACTTGCATGAACTTAGCTTAATTTGGAAATGTCGGTGACTCCGTGCAGCGAGAGAATACGTCGAAACCTTCAATACCACCACCACCACCACCGCCAACTGTATCCTGGCTAGCTTGCTTTTGTTGTCATCATTTCTACGAATGCAGATATTTTGAGCACCTGCACGGCTGCACCCGGGCCCTGTTATACTGACCCTCCAATATTGCTTTAAGATCTGTGCGACACAACTAACTTCCTACGTGAAATTTTCTCTTTTTTGTTTCTCTCACATAGAACATGTCTTGAACTTCAAACTTTGCAGCGCAGCAAAACTTCCTAACTAGAATGCGGGATAAAACTTTCAGATTTTTTGGTCCGGCATAAATACTAGAAATAAGATTTTTTTAATCAAGCAAAACTAATTTTGTATACTTATGTTGGACCAAACAATCGAAAAGGTTTATTCTAGATTCTAGTTAGAAAGCTTTGATGTTTTGCAAAGGTTTAAACTTCAAGGCACGTTCTATATGAGAGAAACAAAAGAGATAAATGTGCTTGCACGAATCTTGATGCGGAGCATGGATGGCTAGATAAGAGGGGCCCGGGTGCAAGTGCTCTAAAACATGTTTTCGATCATCTCTACCTTGGCTTGGTGTTGCAAATAAATTCATTTACAAATTGGTTACAGCAGCCCATCTATCCATCGATGCATCAGCATGATCTGTACTAGCTTTTACATGTCTGAAAGGTGACTATGCTGGAGTACTCCCTCTGTTTTAAAATATAATATGTTTTTTGATCAAAAAGTGTCTTATATTTTGATACAGAGAGAGTATTTGCAATGCCAACACAACTTCTTACCATTGCGTGCTGAGTCATCGACACTTCCAGCTTGACTTGTACCTTGTGTCTGTAGGCCACACACTTAATATAGGTGAATAACTTCTGTGAAAGCTACGTTTGGAAGTTTGTTTGAAAAATTACTCCCTCCGTAGTTGCTCAAACGGATGTATTTTATCACTAAAATACGTCTAGATACATCCGTTTCAACGACAATTAATATGGGACGGACGGAGTAACAAACTAGGCAATACTAGAAAGGTGAAGTTCTATAAACATGTGCATTTGAAGTTCAAACTCATATACATTTGGGACGTAAGGAAAAAAAACATGGATGCATAGTTATGTTTGTATTGTCTGTCACCATTCATTTGCTGATTTTGTTTTTTCCTTAACTTCTAAACAGGGCCGGTCTTGAGATTTCGGGGGCCCTGGGCAAAACGAGAACCTAAGGCCCTTATATTTTACTTTAAAATTTTCTTTCGCTTTTCGAGATGCAAAGTCGCTGATAATGATCAATCTTATTCAACAATTTTTTCTTGATGTGGGAATTTGCCAAACCTAACCGCTCTTGGGACATTTACAAACCTCACATTGTTTTTACTAATATATACTAGTCGTATTTAAATGATGCACATACTTCTTACAGTAGGACAAAAGCAATCACAACAAGGAAGCATACCTCGGCCATTATCAATGTGATGGCTCCTTCTACATGTCATTCTTGATAAGATTTTTTGCTATTTGATGAAGCATTAG